TGAGACTCTCTTCCCATCTATCAGTGTGCCATTGACATTCTGAATCGCTCTTCTACAACCTTCCTCCTTCACATATTGCACAAAGGCAGAAGTTGATGACTTATAATTTGGTTTCACCATAACACTTGGAATATAAACCCTTAAAACACGACCATAAATATCAAAGATCTCTCTTAACTCTCTTCTAGTAACTCTCTTACTAAGATTGTCTACGAAAACAGTCCATTCCTTATCGGAAGATGAACGACCTGTCACAAGCTCTCTATTTCTCTCTCTTCCTTTCTCGCTCATTCTGAAAAAGTGACTTTAATATTAGGGTTGATATATATTGTATTTAATGTATGATATTACATAATTAATGCAGGATATTACTTTACATATTATGGTACCTTCATACTTCTATATATACCCATAATGTGATGAATAAAATACAAGAAAGTATTATCTTTTCGATTTCGTAGGTTTTTCTTTTTGCTGCAGTTTTTAAGTCTTATGTAATTCTGTTTGGTGTAATTGTTAAGTCTTATGTACTTCTGGTATATTAATAAAAATGAGGTACTCTTTTCCTCCTGCTATTTGACTCTTTCTTTCGGGAAAGGGTTATCTATGAGGGAGGTCACCGACGAATGTCAAAGGACAGATTTTGAAGGCTCTTCTATCGTCGCTGCCAGCACAAGGAGAACCACCGTCACTCGATCGGTCAGCCACCAGCGTCCCATCGCTAGATTAATTGTGCGTGGGTCCCACAAGCCACCAAATAATTTCTTATGTTCTGCATGCACTAGCACGTTATAGTGTGCATTCAGGTATTACGATGCTGATTTCTGTCTTCGAGGTCAACTCCTACTTCCATCCAAACCCCTATGGTTGTGATCAATTGTGGTGTGGGCTTTGACAGGTTTGATATTTCTTTGTGGATATTTTGCTCGTGTTGTTTTAATTTATATGGCTAATACAAAACCTGGTGTTACTTCTGATCTGGTTCCTTTTGTTTCAAAAAGCACTGACCATAAATTCAATGGACTAAAATTTTCTTGATTGGAACCATGCGATTGAACTAATTTTCTTAGTACCTTTACGGAAGGCCATTTGACTGATAATCCACCTACGAATGATTACAAACTATCTTGGATGATAGAAGATGCTCGCTTGTATATTCAGATTCGTGACACTGTTGACAGTGAGGTGGTTAGTCGGGATACTCATTGCAGGAGGGTGAAACAATTAATGACCCATTTGCAATTTTTATATTCTGGTAAAGGCAATTTTTGTCGAATATATGATGTTTGAAAGGAGAATTTTTATAGGACAGATAAAGAAGATAATTCCCTCACGACTCAACGAGTTATTTTATGGACTTCAGAAACATATTAGGAAATGAATATGTTGCTTCCTTTCAGTGTTGATATCGATCTTCACTGAAGCCAGCAAAAGAAGATGGTTGTTATGAGCTTTCTAGTTAGTCTTCCGTTTGAGTTTGAGACAGCCAAATCTCAAATCGTTTCCAGTTCAGAAATATCTAGTCTAGAAGATGTCTTTTGAAGGGTTCTTTGTACAAAGAATCCTTACTTGGCTTGTCTGCTAAGAATGGTGGCCACAATAGATAGGACAACAATATTACAAAAGTGGTGGCCACAATAGAAGAATGGTGTCGAGATCTAACTACTCTGATAAGAATACAAGAATTTGTGGGCAGGAACAAGGGAAAATTGTCTATCACTACTGTCAACCAGGACAAATCAAGCTAGATTTAGGAGGTTGTAGTCTAGGAAGGCTCAATCTGCTCATGCTGCATCTAGTTCAATTGCCTTTGCAAAGTCTGTTACAATATTAGTGGATGAGTATGCCAAATTGATTCACTTTCAAGAAATCATAAAACAACCCTTCGGTCCCATTACTGCCCTTGTTTAGTCAAGTAAACCAAACAAATGTCTTGTTTTCGCTTCTTAAAATTGTCATTGATTTTGGTGCTACATATCACATGACAGGTAATCCCAATTTACTTTCTAACTTTCATCCTCATAAGTCTACCATTCATGTTACTTTAACTGATAGATCAACATCCAATATATTTTAATATGTTCCTTGTTTGGAACAATTGATCTTACCCCTTCACTTCCTTTGTTATCTGTTCAGAGCCTACATCAATTATCTTTTAATCTGATTTCCGTTAGCAAACTTACTCGTCCCCTTAATAGTTATCTCTAATTTTTTCCTAGCTATTGTTTGTTTCTAGATTTCATGACAAAAAAGATTATTGGTAAGGGATATGAGTCTAGCAGTCTTTACATCCTTGATACCTAAGAACCAAAATCCGTTACCTGCACCGGACTATTACTCCTTTTGATGGAAAATTTCCGTTTTGGTCACCTTTTGCTGTCTATGATAAAGAAATTATGCCTTCAGTTTTCAAATACCACTTCTTTAGATTATGAGTCTTGTTAGTTTGCTACACTTCATCGCCATAGTTCTTGTCCTCAAGTCAATAAGCAAGCAACTGCTCCATTTGAGTTAGCCCATTCTGATGACCGGGGTCGTAATTTTGTTCCCTCTAAAGGATGATTTCATATATTTTGTTACATTTGTTAATTTTAGAATAACATGACTTTATTTGATGAAAAATCTCTCTTAATTATTTCTTCATTTTTCCTCTTTTTGTGTTGAAATTCAAACCCAAATTGGTATATTTGACAAACTTTGCGGAGAGATTCTGCAAAAAATATATGCTTGAGCAGGGTATTCTTCATCAAATTTCTTGTGTCCCAACGGGGTTGCTAAATGAAAAAATACACTAAACTTCCAGGGCCTCGTTTCGCATGTAGGTTCCAAAATACTTATGAGTTGATGTCGTGTCTAGTGCTTACTTCCTAATTAATTGTATACCTTCTCTTGTTTTGTGCAGAAATACTTCATTCCATTCTCAATTTCCAAATAGAAATTTGTTTCCTATTGCTCTCAAGATATTCAATTGTACTTGTTTTGTTCGGGATATTTGTCCTCAAGTTACAAAGATTGATCCTAAGTCCTTGAAGTGTATAATTTTGGGAGTATTCTTGAAGTGTATCCCTTCTGTTGATTTTACCGTTTTGGAACAAACACCAATTTTTTCTTCAGGTTTTGTGACTTAGGGGAGGATGATTTCCTAGTTTAACATGTCATGCAAAGTTTTGATATGCCACCCTCTACTTCCATTAAGCCATCAATTTCCATTAAGCCATCACCCTCTATATTAGATATGCCTCCTATCAACCATACCTACTCGCTTCATCCACGTTTGTCTAGTTTTGACCCAATTCTTGAGACTTCAAAACCGTGTAGTGGGTAAACATACTTGTACAAATCCAATTTCTTCTGTTGATTCTTATAATCGTTCGTCTTCTTCTTGTGCTTTCCTTTCATCCCTAGATAATTTTTTTTTTGACTCTAAAACTATACGCGAGGCATTTGCTCATCTTAGAAGGCGTATGGCTATGCTTGAGATGACTGCTCTAGATGTTAATGCAACCTTATCTTTGGATACATTACCTGTTAGTAAATAAGCTATTGGATTTCAATGGGTGTTCACTATCAAATTCAATCCTGATGGCTGCATTGCTCGATTGAAACCTTGTCTTTGGATACATTACCTTGCAACAACTTTGGATTGGCCTTTGTATCAATCAGACATAAAGAATGCTTTTCTTCATGATCTTCAAAAGATGTATATGGAACAAACACTTTGTTTTGTTGCTCAAAGGGAGTATAGAAAAGACTCGTTTGAAAATATATCTATATGAAACAAAGACCTCGGGGATGATTTGGTAAACTTATATCTATATGAAACAAAGACCTTGGGGATGATTCGGTAAACTTAGTCATACTACTGAAAAATTCAAGATGCAAAAGAGAAAGTCAGAGCATTTTGTCTTCTATAAAAATTCTGATAGATGCACTATTTTGTTAGTTGTATATAACTGATAGTGACTAGTGGAATTTCATCTTTTAAGTTTTTTCACCATGTTTAGTTTCATACCAAAGACTTAGGGATGTTACAATATTTCTTGGGAGAAATTAACTGGAGTATCCCAAAAAAAGTAAGTGCTTGATTTATTATCAAAGTCAGAAAAATTGGGTGCTAAACCATATAGTACTCTAATAGTTCCCAATTTGCAGTTAACCAAAGGTAAATTATATGCAGATCCTGAGTGGTATAAAATACTTATTGGAAAGTTGTATTATCTTACTTTACACATCCTGACATTACTTATCATACAAGCGTGTTGAACCAACATATGTCATCACCATCATTGGAAAGCAGTAGAACAAATTTTTCACTATTTGAAAAGTGCTCCTAAACATGAAGTTCGATATGTCAGTCATGGTCATAATACGATCGGATTGGACAAGATGTAAAGATAGGAGATCAATTTCAGGATACTGTGTTTGTTAGAGGAAACTTGATTTCATGCAAGAGTAAGAAACATAATGTATTCTCACAGTCCATTGCAGAAGTTGAATATAAAACTATGACCAAGTCTTTGTGTGAAATCATATTGGTATATCAGCTCCTCAATGAAATAGGAATTAAGGTTTCAGTACCTACAAAGTTATGGTGTGATAATCAAGCTTCACTTCACATTGCATCTAATCCAATATTCCATAACGAACAAAACACATTGAGGTTGATTTTCATTTCATTCGCAAAAAGATCCAACAGAGTTTGATCATTATCAGCTATGTGAAAACTAGAGAACTAAGAGATATTTTAACAAAAGCACTTAACATGATTTAAGTTGATTATCTATGTAAAAAGCTGGACTTGATTAATATCTATGATCCAATTTGAGGGGGAGTGTTACAAAATTATAAGCTAAATATTAGGGTTGGTATATATTGTATTTAATGTAAAAGATTATATATTATAGGACCTTTATACATATATATAACCATAATGTTGATGAATAAAATACTAGTATCTCTTCCTACTATTTCTACATGAACAAAAAACAAGGTGAACATACCTCAATAGAGACACGGTGGGGATAGCAGGGTTCATCCCATGCATAAGGGCAAGAAGTGTATGGGTGAACAATGGTATCAAGTGATTCACACCTTTGTTGGTAAATCCTTAGTCTCTGCAATGAAAAAAATGATACAGAACTCTCATAAAAAATAACAATTAAAGTTTAAAGTGGATGATGCAGAATGCAAAGAAGGTAATTGAGGAATTAAACTACTTAAGATTTGGTATTTTTTTCCAAATATATTTGGTATTCTACATTTTTTTTTGATAAGAATTTCAGGCCTCATTAAAAACCTCCTCCTTGATTGAAGGTGCTTGTTGATAAGCTCCTTAATCAGCGAAGGAGGAAAAGAGTGCCTTAGGATATTATTGAACAAAACAATAACATACAAGATACAACCCTAAAAGTAAAGTAAACAGACAGGTCAACACAAGGCAACCTTGTGACCCATAAACATCAACATTTAATCAACCAATTCCTTCTTTAGCTAAGGCATCAGCCTCTAAGTTAGCTGTCCTGCTTACCCATCTAACCACTCCATCGAACATATTAAGCCAGTAAACAATGTCTGTAACCAAATAAGCATAAACATGAGGACATAATTCAGCCCTCTTAACCCAGTCCACTGCCATCTTGCTGTCACTTTCAATAATCAACCTGTCTTTGATCCTCGCTCGAAAATCAGCATAGAACATTAGCCCCTTTTGAATAGCTTTTAACTCCATAAATGTTGGAGGCCCCGGACCTGCAGGCTCCTTGAAAGACCCTAATGTAGTTCCAGAGGAATCTTTTAAAACTCCTCCTAAACCACTCTTCTTCCAATCCTTAGTCGTAGCTGCATCAACATTAATTTTCACAAAACCCATAGGAGGATGCCACGGAATAGTAGACACAATCATATTAGAATGGGTGGAACAAACGTCCCCTAAGGAGGGGTCTGAAATGAGAGTCTTTAAGAATATGCACCCCTTTATTCTTCGCTAGGAACCATGAAGCAAGCCTAAACCTTGCTAAGAAGAAGAATTCAACCTCATCCAACTTCCCTCCTTCAAAACCAATTGAGTTCCTCAATTTCCAAGTAGTCCAAATAACTACGCCTGGAATGAGAGACCAAATCGGAGAATTAGTCTTCAACGCATCCCAATTCAAGAGAAAACTTTTAGCATTATAATGAAAAACAGTTTGAATCTTCCAGAAGTTGAGAAATTTATTCCAAACAGCCCACACCACCGAACAAGAGAAAAAAAAATGTGAAGGAGACTCTTCCTGCATCATGCAAAGAGGGCATAACAGATTCTGAATTCCTTCTATTCCTCTTTTCACCAGTTCTGTTTTAACAGCCAACCTCCCTAGAACAACCTGCCACAAAAAGGACTCCACTTTTGTTGGCAACTGACCCCTCCAAACAATCTTACTCCAGAAGTAGGCCTCATCCGAACATAAAGAACCTGATGAGCATAGATTGACAGCATATTTCACAGTGAACACCCCATCCCCAGACCCTTTCCAAATCATCCCATCCGAATTATCCAAATTTAGAGCAAAAGCCGAGATGATAGTCATCAAATTAGCCCACTGCTCTATCTCCCAGTCATTTAAATTCCTGCGAAACTGCATATCCCAAATCCAGCCGAAAGAGCTATACTCCCCAAACTCAAATAATTTGCCTATTTTGTTAATCGAAATGGAAAACAATCTAGGGAAAATTAATAGAAGTGGATAATCCAAAGCCCAAATGTCCTGCCAGAATCGAATAAATTTACCATCTCCAACTAAAAAAGAATACAAACTTCTTAACTTTGAACCGATAGGGTCATCTTTAAAGTGGTTATTAACCACTGATCTCCAAATCCAAGATACTCTGTTTGGAGTCTTACTATCAAACAATAACAAAAACGGGTCCAAATTATATTTAGAACAAATAAGGTCCCTTCAGACAGACCCCCTTTCATTTGCAAACCTCCAAGTCCATTTTTCTAGAAGTGCTCTATTCATCAAATTTAGATTCAGCACACCCAAACCCCCCTCCATCCTTGGTCTGCATACATTCGGCCAGCTAACCCAATGGATCTTACTTTTTTCAACACCCCTCCCCATAGGAAATTTGACATCAGTGAATTCAGGGTTTTAAGAACCGAAGCTGGTATCTTAAAAAGAGATAAATAATAAATAGGAAGCGAACATAGTACCGACTTAAGCAAGACCAGTCTCCCTGCTAAAGAAAGAGAGGCAACCTTCCATCCTGTTAATTTTTTGGAAAAATTATTGATTACAGGATTCCAGATAGCAGCATAATTCCTAGAAGCCCCCAAAGGAAGCCCTAGATATTCAGAAGGAAAGCTTCCAACAGAACAACCAATAGTATTAGCCCACTCATTCACCTCCTCATCATTCAAATTCACACCAAAAAGCTTGCATTTCCTCAAATTGAGCTGTAAACCTGAAATAACTTGGAATACACGAAGCACCCTTTTTACATTTAGAATTTGCATTTTCGAAGCACCACTAAAGATAATGAGATCATCCGCAAACTGTAAGTGAGAAAGATTAAAAGACCCCTCTCCCCTCCCAATAACCAATCCAGAAAACAGCCCCTGTGAAACAGCCTTTAAAATCAGTAAATTAAGGAGTTCACCAATCAAATTAAATAGCAGAGGGGATAAAGGACATCCCTGCCTAAGACCCTTTGCCATAGGAATTTCCTCAGTAGGGACTCCATTAACCAGAACAAATACTGAAGCTGTTGAAACACATTTTTTGATCCAGCCTCTCCAACTTGAACCAAAACCCATTTTCTCCATAACTAAAAACAGAATACTCCAATCCACCGAATCATAAGCTTTCTTGAAATCAGCTTTGAAAACACAGCCTTTGAGTTCACTTTTCCTCAAAAAATCAATTCATTCATTGGCAATTAACGAGCAATCTAATATTTGACGGCCTGGAATAAAAGCAAATTGTGTGGGACTGATTAAATCTGAAATACAGCTCCTCAACCTCCTCGAAAGACACTTGGAGAGGATCTTATATAATCCACCAACTAAGCTAATAGGTCTAAAGTCATCAAGATCGCCACTATTAGAAACCTTAGGGATAAGAGTAATAAATGTATGATTAATACCGTGTTCCCAAATAGAAATTATTGAAAAATTTCATAACATCTCCCTTAAGAATATTCCAGAATCTTTTAAAAAATCCCATATTTAGACCGTCTGGCCCAGGAGCTTTATTCCCATTACAAGACTCAATAGACTCCCAAATTTCCTCCTCGGTAAATTCTTTCTCTAATCTCAAACTCTGTTCGAGTGTAATACTAGAAAAATCCAGCCCAATGTCTTCCACTTGAAGAGTAAACTCATCATTGAAAGCCTTGAAAAAATGATCTCTAACTGTTGCTTTAATAACATTCGGGTCATGAACAAAATTGCCATTGACAAGAGTAGCATTCAATGCATTTCTTTTCCTCCTAACTGAAGCACATGTATGAAAATATCTTGTGTTTCTGTCGCCATCTTCTACCCACTTCGATCTTGAGTTCTGGAACCAAATCTGCTCCTCTATCTTATACAGTCTCCACAATTCTGCTCTTGATTTCTTCAACTCAAGTGCTATCTCAGAACTGGAATCAATTAGACCCTGATGAATATCCACCTCTAGCTTTTGAGTTTTCGATTCAAGATTAGAAATCAAATCCCCTGGAAACTTGTCTCTCCTCCCTGCCCAATTTTTGATTGCCATTTTGGTATTCTTCAGTATGCTGAAAATTCCAGGATTCCTCTGGTTTTTCTTACAATCTCGAATTGATAAGCTGACCACATCCTCGAATCCGACTTCATCCATCAGATAATTAAAAAGTTTAAAAGGTTTATTTCCCCAATTATCCCCACCATTTTCAATAATTACTGCATTATGGTCAGACACAGACCTGGGCAAAAGAGATTGAGTTAAATCTGGAAATTCGGCTAAGAACTGGCTATCAACCAAAAATCTGTCCAGTCTAACATAGGTTGGTGAATCTTGGTTATTACACCAAGTATATCGACCCCCACTCAATGGCAGATTAATTAAACCTGTGTTCAACAGAAAATGACTGAAAATCTCTACTGAATTCCTATTTTGGGCCCTACCCATCTTCTCGTCCTCATGAAGATAAACATTTAGGTCCCCTCCAACACAAATAGGATCACTGTAACCTCCAATGAACATGCCTAATTCTTCAAAGAAGCCTCCTTTCTCCTCCTCAACAGACGGACCATATACATTGATGAACCTACATCTGAAATTATTTGCACGAAACCTCCCAGAAATAGCTATAAATCTACTGGAAACAAATTGATTATCCAACTCAAAAATATTGTCATTCCAGCAACTTAGTAAACCCCCTGAAGCACCAACCGAAGGAGACTCAATACACCCTTGCAAATTGTTTAAACCACACCTTCTAGAAATAGATTTTTGAATTTTCTCCAATTTAGTTTCCTGTAACCACAAAAAATGAGGGCAAAGATGATACAGTAATCTCTGCACAGCCCTTTGCTTCTCTTTTCTACCCAACCCTCTAACATTCCAAGTCACAATAGATAACTTTAACATATAAAAAGAAAAAACCTCCCTTGATCTTCCCAGAGAAATCAACCAGCCCTGAGAAGTCAATCATTCCTAACAGTCTCCGAGCCATTATCAAGACTAATAATTTTTTCAATGAACGTCTTCTTCCCTTCCTTGAAGGAAATACCTAGCAACTGACAGACTTCCCAAGTTGCCATGGCTTCCTCCACCAATTTCGAAAACTGAGGGGAAAAGACAGTTAACATATTAACCAGGTCCACAGCTTCCCTTGTTAAAATTCTTTTTTCCCTCCTGAAATTCCTGCAAATCTGTGAAGCAGAAAGTTGGGTTGATGACCGATCCTCAAAATGATTATTACAAAATAATGGAACCAACGTTGTATTCTGCTTAACAACAGAACAAGAGATATCAACATCCTGTTCATATCCTCTGTTTTCGGAAGAAACCGGATGAATAAAACCTTCAGGAGCATTTTGAACTTTATTCATAAAAACCTGACAGCCACTTTTAGAATCCTCCTTCCTCGAGCTTAGCCAAATTCTTCTACCTCTTGATCTTCTGTAGACTCTTGAAAAGCGACCGCTGCTCCTCTTCCCACCAATATTTTTAATTGATAAACCAGCTGAAACTGGAAAACCCAGTTTCCAACGATTCTGACTCTTCTTAATTTCTGCACACCCATTGTGAATTACTGAATTTCTTCCCCTCTCACAAGAAAATGAAGTGCTACACGCATTAAGGCCCACTTGATTAACATCCTTAGCCATTTTCACCTTCTTTAGAACAGCTCTATTTTTAACTGGAACTTCATCCCTTACTGAAATTGTATGTTGCCCTTGTAATTCGGACCGAGTCTGAACCTTTTTTTGATTTCCTGGCCTGTTCCATTTCAACTTTACAGCAGGGCCTGCTGGGATAATTTTAGTAATAGGAGAATAAGACTCCCAATTAGAATCCGAATGGGTTGGAAGACTCTGATCCACAACCTCTCGCAGCCCAAGGCCCGCATAATCCCCACAAGGATTTAATTCAAATTCAAATTTTTCTGACACCCCATTATTATTGGGCAGAGTGTCAGACTTCTTTTTCAGATAAAGTTCCCCACCTTCTTTTGACATCCTCCTTTCTTGACTATTCTAAAGCCACGTATCAACCTTTGACCAAAAACCTTCTGCTGAGTTCTCTCATTGTCTTCTTCCTTCTCTGTGTTTCTACCATCATCCCCCTTTGAAACATCACCATTGCAACTGCCATATGAAAAATTCTGCCTTACGTCTCCATAAGCTTCAGAAATAGGTTTAGAGCTGGAACCCACATTAATTTTAACTTTAAAGGATCTGCCATAAGATCCTACAATAACAGATTCTTGTACGTCAAAAGGGCTTGCAACCCTCAACAGCATTTTGGCCGAAGAGAAGTCATCTCTATTTCTAGTTTCCTCCAGGATGCTAACAACCTTTCCCCACTTACTGCCAAGCTTTTCCAGAAAAGGTACACTCCAACTAAGAAGCGGTAAACCAACCAGTTCGACCAAGCAATAAGCCAAAGGAACTCCATCTTCACTCAACAATGGATCTACCCAATCAAACCAGCAATAGAGTTTCTCACGAAGACTCAACCATGCCTTTAAAAACTCTTCATTTGTATTGAACGTAATAATACTGGCGTTCCTGACATAACCCCACCTTACTATCTTAACCTGGAAACCCTCCTTTGCCAAAGCTCTCTTCACCATATCAGGCTGAAATGGATCTTTGATAACCCCTGTTAAGGAGTTTTTCACCCAGCAAAAATCATCTGATGGGATGTGCATATCCCATACATTTCTTATTCCATTTGCATTCTTCTGACCTCCCCTAATCACCAATCGTTCTGGATTCAAACTCCTACTATTAGCCACATTCACGACCTCCTTATACGATCTGTCATCTCTCAAGCTTCTCGGCTTCTCCAGCTCAGCCTGCTGTCTACCAAAAGCCTCTCTATCTAGCTTAATTCTTTCCAACTGATTTCTTTGAACCTCTGCTTCTCTTCTCCTTCCCCTCATGTACTTTGCAACCCCCAATGAGACTCTCATCCCGTCAATGAGCGTTCCGTTGACATTTTGAACTGCTCTTCTGCAACCTTCCTCCTTCGCAAATTGCACAAAAGCAAACATGGATGACTTATAATTTGGTTTAACCATAAAATTTGGAATAAAGACCCTCAATATTCTTCCATAATGGTTGAAAATCTCTCTTAACTCACATCTATTAACTCTCTTACTAAGATTATCAACAAAAACAATCCATTCCTCACCGGTGGATGAACGACCAGAAAAACGGTAAAACAAACAAGATAAAAATAAAAAATCCTGCTAACAAGTAACCTAACAGCACATAAGCAAAGCATGCAATTCAATAGTTTGAGATAGCTTATCAAAGGTGGCATTCACATGGTACTAGCAGAGACATATATCAAGTATTTGGTTCACTCGGTTCATCATTACCAATTGAACTAACTAGCAATGACAAGTTGGCATCTGATACATCAAGAGGTCATCAAATACAGAAAACTAGAAATAAACAAATTTAAAGCAATTAGCTATGACCTAGGAATACAGAAGCATTAATCAAATAGGCACCAACCTCCTTTGAGAAATTATCAATTCTATATGGCATATATCCTGTATCATCCTCTGATATGAGAATCAAGTTAGTCCCACAATTCCCCTGTAGACTTCCAACAATCTTTTCATCCTTGATGGAAACATCAGCATTCTGTACCTCCACCCGTATCATATTCATTGTACTAGAAGCATAATTTCTTATCTTCACTTGAGTGTCACCTAAATGATCTGGCAAGAAGCTGCCAGACCATTGCCAGCCAGGTTCATCAAAACACAAGGAAATCAATAAATCCCTGCAAAAGATTGGAAGTGCATAAGCCAGCTATGAAAGGGCACAAGATAATTTATGATAGTTTAATATGTTACAATCAAAATGTTACACAAAGTTATATAGGATCATCTTATGTTGCTGCAACTCTTCATTTTGCTTTAAGTACCCACATCAGACATATTTTGGCATGATGATATGACCCTCCAAATTCATGAAAAAAAACTTAGAAAAATTAAATATACCAGTGTCAAACTCATGGCTGCCATTCGATGCTGACATCCATGTCCAAGTACACCATCAACCCATTCTAATAAAAATTTAGCTAGATAATGGTAAATCACCCTCTCTCTCTTAGCCAAACAAAACTGTGTATGTTCATGTTGATTCACATAGCAATCTTGGTTCAACCCACATCCATATTGCAAACAGCATCTTCAATTAATCGAGTCATGTTAGAACCGACACGTTGAAGTGCTACAATTACTTGAACCCACCAATTAATGCAGTTCTTGGGTCTTCCTAGTGAAGTAGGGGAATACATATAGCAAGTTTTGATGATAAGAGAGCTTGATAACTTTATGAGGAAGCAAGAGATAGCATTACCAATTTCACAAAGTTTTCATTGTAAATATGAGGCTATTGAAGTGGTATTTGAAGATAGGCTACGAACAGTGAGCACATGTAAATATGAGAATCAGCAGATAAATTAAATACTTTATCACTTTGACTCGACTTCAAGAATGCTTGGTTTTCAATTCTAGGTGTTAGGGATTAGCTCATTAATAGTAAAACACAGTGGATCAAGGTTTTCTTTAAGTTACGTATAGCATAGTGTGAGGACTGGAAGTTGCTCCCATGACGCAACTTATGTGAAGGTAGGAAGCAAGAGCTTTTTTTTTTCTGAAAAAAAAGAGTGAATTTTGCGATATTATTTGACATATTCCTTGCAAACCAAATAGATATAACATATCCCAATTTATAACACATGGGAAGACTATTGCCAATATCTTATTCCCAAGCATCAAATTTTCATGAATCTATTGCTGGAGAATTCAAGATTCCCCTGAAAAAGTATCAAGTAAGATACAAAAAATTTTATATCATAGATGCAAACCCACGACCCAAAACCCAATTCTTAAAGTTGAAGAAATTTGGCAGTGTAAAGATTAGTTCTCGACACAAAAACTAGATCAAAATAAATGATAGAATTTGTCCTATGAACCCTCTAATCAAGTTGTGATTCGCAACAACAATTATTGGATGGCTCCCTACCAATCCTCTAAAAACGCATTCCTAGCAAATTGGATTATTGAGATGAAAAGATGAAAACCCCACAACTTTGGAATTAGTTAATAAGTAAAGAACTCTTCAAACAAGGGTCTCTCAACCACTAAAGAAAAGCACAGGACTTAAATTTATTAATTCTCAAAAATTGAATTGCAAAGGGCGGTTGGCCTTGGTACTATATAGACCAAATTTTTATGAACTACCTAATGAAAGATAAAACTCTTTAACTATCCTATCCAACCATAATTAAGGAATTGTATTTACAATATATTTCTAATAATTAAATAAAAACTCCTTTGAACAATAAAAATCCTAAACAAAGCTAAATATTTATAATCCTACTCGAACTTGTATCAGTTATGTTAATGTTAAAGAACAACACCAAACTAAAAACATGTTAAAAAACTTCAATTTTAATATAGGCATTCTATTTGGCTATGAATGGTAAGGCCCAACTTGAATTAAAGGACAGAACAAACTGCAAAATCAACCGATATGAGTTAACAGTTAACACCACTATGACTTCCCTAAAGTCATGTTCTAATGCCAAAAACAAAAACGAATAGGCATTTCACATTCATAACCATTAGGGCAACAAGCAATAAGAATAAGTAACATAACAAATTTGAGTTCTTATATCATGTTGTGCATTCAAAATATACCCAGTTTTACAAAGGTCCAACAAAAATTCAAAAGGTAAGAATTAGTGAGGTCATTGTTAAATTTTGTGCCTAGCCCAATTTAATCAATACGGGATTATTACCAGCTAAACATTCCGTAGCACATGTAGGAGAAGTAGATAAATTGTATGATATATCTTAACAGGCCTATCATGTGACTGGACATCACATATAGGCACAACAAACAAATCAACGAGTAGAAAAAAGGTGTGGAAAAGCATGCTCTTCAAGCAACTGGCGATAGATACAGAATCCCAACTTGAGTAGAAAAGCAAAACCACAAAAATTCATGTTAATTGATGTTGAATAAAATCATTCAACATAAAGATGGTTGAGTACCTTGTTGTATCTGTCCAATGAAGCTGTGAATGTTGCCCAACACCCAAATGATAGAGAATATCTGTCCCCTTCTGCTTATAGTATAAGTCCTTGCTGCATGCATTACTGATAACATATCTGCACATGAAAACTCTTGCTATGAATGAGACACAAAAGAATGCGTTCAAGAAAAGCAGAAGTATTTGCCAGAAGAAAACACTCCCTTTTGGATTCTTATGAAAATCATTACCTTGGTTGAAAAGTAATGGCCCGTGTCCTCCCAGCACATGCTCCAGCAATAGCATTAGATGTAACAGATAATATAAACATCGCATTTGATGAAGGCTGTGGAACAAGTACAGTCGTTGATCCACTTGGTGGGACAAGAAGAAAAGGTCCTGACCATGGAGAGTTAGGCATATTTTCTGAGTTATGTCCACGTATACAAGTAGCTATGCAAACCACAATTTCACTTCCAGCAGAAATAGGATGTGGAGAATATGTGCATGCCTTAACCCTTCCATACTCTTTTTCCACAAAGTCATTATTCCCTGAAAGCTGATTGCTTGAACCCAATCGATTCTTCAGAATATTTGACGATGTTTTGTGATCCACTAAATCATGTTGGTCAGTTTGCTTCTGAGACAATGAACTCAAAGGATTTATAACAAATCTTCCTAATTGCAGATCAAATGTTTTCCTAGTTGAAACAATGCGATATTTCGAGAAAGAACAGGAAAAACTCTCATTTTGTGGAGACTCAATAACTGAGTGTTGGTCAGAAAATAAAAGGCTCAAACCATCTCTGGAGCCCTGAAACTGCCCATTATCAACTTGATTGTAGCAGGAAGGTAAAGTACAGACAGTTCTGTCCATCTCATTGGAGAACTCTGAAATATTGAGTGGGAATGGTGTGCAATTATATAGAAGAAAGGGTACATATACAAAGAGTTCTCGAGCACCAGAAAATGCATCCATCGTCTTTTCCATAGTTACATATATTGGGCCTAGAACAAAAAAGTTAAAGATGCACTATGAAAAGCATTCATTATATAATAATGTAGGAAATCATAAACAGATATATTACCACTACAGGTATTAGGTTCAAAGGCCAAGGTTTCAGACTGAGAGAACTTTGTTCCACTGAACTTAGCAGTAGTACTGAAAGTTTCAGTGCGCGGAAACTTAAGGACTGAAGGTCTATATCCATAAATATTGAACTCCAGTGTCAGGTCATGTGATAGATCAATATGATGAAAGAAAGTGACTACCTGAAAAAATAGATGTATGTTTTACATTAGTTTAGAGCATCATACTCTAATCAGTAAAATGATGCACAAAACTACATCAGACATGGTAGAAATGAAAAACAAACCTTTGAAAGCAATGTAGCGTAGGTAATTCCACCACTTTCAATTTTCAAGGATATTGCCTCAGGAAGAAAGTTATTAATGACTAAGAGTACTTGATAAGCAACAGCGAAACGGGTCACTGCTTGGATGAGATGGGTAACATACAAAAGACCTGAGAAATCCAATCTTGCCTTCCAATGAGAGAAGATCAGAGAGGTTGTGTGCTTCACTCCACAGGTAAGAATTCCCAAGAGGACGCCACCTCATGCGACCAGCTTCAGCCAAATGGAGGGGCAGTGGGAACTCTTGACCAGGATATACTGGGTCTAGAATCTGGAATAATCAATGCAAAGATGTAATGAAGAGATGAAGACAGGTATACATAAATTTACAAAAACAATGAAATTTATAGAAATCAAACAATATATTTGTCCGCACCTTCGGTGAAATACCAAATGGGATATCAAACCGTAGTTCCAACGGAATTGAACTAGCATTTAGAATTATCACCTGAAGTTAACAGGAATTAGAAGCTAGCAAACAACTAAATGATGAAAAATCTATGATAATAAGTGCATATATACATACTGTTGAGTACAATCGTATAAGCTTGCTATACCGCTGAACAGAAACATCGAACACAACAGGTACAACAAAACCATTCTTTCCATCAGCTGCACCATTTTCTTTCAGTTTTACATTATACTGAGAATTATTTGAAAAATCAACCTCAAAATATGTAAGTCCAACAAAGTCCATCGATACAGGAGCAGAAGGCACAGACATGCCATCAAACTGAATAGTCATCAAATGATGAGCCACCCCATTGGATTGTCTCTCTCTGAGATCGTCAGAAGAATGAGTGGGCCTGTAATGAAAAAGTTGTTCATCCGGTATGTCATTAAGATAAATTGGAACGGAAGCGCCAGCTTGCACAATTTTTTCCATCTTTCTCTTTTGAGACATCAAACTGATCAGAATCTGACAATCCTTGATAAACATGATATTCAAGAGGTGAAGAAGTCAGGTTTTGAAGTATATAGGGAGCATATCTTCCTCCTGATATATTTTCAGTGAGCTGAGGGTCTAGAAATCTTTGCTTTTCAGAAGAACCGCGTTCCATGAATCCCCAGGCATCCTTAATCATTTCAATTGTCCTGAGAACAGTCTTTGATGTTTTTCAAGGGGTAAGAAAATTGATATTATAGATTAATGGTAAAAATCTACGCATGAGAAAATACTGAACAATGAGATTAGTCTGGTAACAACATCAGCATGGAGCACCTAGAAAAATCTTTCTTTTAACCTTACAAATTGAATGTGATTATACACCTATTAAAGATCTATACAAATTTGACTGTGATGCACAACCATGAACAGTAGTAGAACTATCTAGATGAACAATATTTATGACGACTACCAAATTACCTATTCTCGCTGAATGACAATGATTCAATAATTTACAACACCTTCACAATAAAACCACTTTTATGTGATTTTAAGATCAACAGTTTGCACTGTCAAGTGAGATTGTAACAATGATTTACAAAATATTTATGGAAAATGATGTGCTAATTGAAGGATTAAATTACTTTTGGACTTAGTTTACTGATTTCATCATATTTTATGAACTCATTTGTACTCTACATATACTTTATAGTGTTTTAGATTAAGAACAATGAAGTTCTAATTGAAGGATTAAATTACTTTTGGAATTAGTTTTACTAATTGCATTATATTTTATGAACTCTACATATACTTTATCCTGTTTTGAATGAGGTCAAATTGCGCTATCAACCATGTACTTGGACCACAAGACAGACTTAGCCCTAAGCCATGATAGTGGATAGCCCACCCTACAAGGATTGCGAGAATTTTAGAACACTTTCCGGGATTTGGAAGCAAAGTTCGTTGGAATGGATTTTTTTTTTATAAGAAGAATAGGGCCTCATTAAAAAACCCCTTCATAACCGTCAAGCTACGTAAGGTTAACTCCATGGACATTGGAAGGAGGAAAAAAGTGCCCAAAATTTTATTACTGAAACATAGAATACATCCATAATAAAACCATTTAAAGTACAAAAGTTCCCCACAAAAACACCCAAAGCACTAAACCACCACACCCAACCAAAACACCCCATATTATCCTATGCCCGACTTAGCTAAACTATCTTTTCCCAATTAAAACATCTCTGAATATGCCTAATAGTCACATTGTACTCCAACACTCGCTTGGCAATTTCCTTAACCAAATGAACATAAGCAGCCAGACTTGCCTCCGGATTGTTAATCCACTTCAAAGCAATAGAAGAATCACTTTCTAAAATAAGGCGCCCCTTATCACTCCACTCCAAATCCAAAAAAAGACTCAAACCAGCTTGAATTGCTTTTAGCTCGACAAGAATCAGAGTAGGGATTTAAATAGCGTTTGCGGTCTCGTTTTCGGTCGTTTTGCATTTATCGCGGTTGCGGACATAATGGATGTCATCGCAGTCACTGCGGGTGTCGCAGTCATGAAATTTTTTAAATTTAACACAATTTATCCTAAAACATAATAATTATAATTATAATGTTAAGGAGTCAGTTTTAATGACTTTTAGAATGTTTTCTAAGTGAAAATGACATATATATATTAATAATATATATCAACACTATAAGCAAGAAAAACAACACATACCTTAGAAATGGGGTAGTAGTAGTTTCACCAATTAGGATTAAATTAAATAAAAACTAAAGTTTACATTCTAAAATAAGGATTAAATTATAAAATTTTAAAGGTGGGAGGATGACAAATTAACATATTCCTTAAAAATATATCCTAGAAATTGTTTAAAATAATTAAAAAGCTATAATTCTCCATTTTGTTGACACGTATGACATATATATTTTAGTTTTTTATATTATTATTTTTTTTTGATAGAATATAGGCCTCATTAAAAACCCCCTTCCTATCCTACATGTTACATAAGTAACATGAAGGACAAAGGAAGGAGGAAAAGAGCGCCTCTGAATTGTATTAATCTTGAACATAACATACAACCAATCCATAACCATGGTCTGCTTATAACATAAGACTTAACAATCATAGACACAAACTGCAGCAAAAAAACAAGCCCCTTAAAAAACAGAACACCCCAGCTTAATAACTATAACTCATAACCACTGATCATCCTATACCAGCTTTTGCCAACTCATCCGCTTCCCAGTTAGCAGCTCTCACAATATGTCTTGAGATGATACCCCTTCCTTCCTATTATTTTTTTCTTTTACTCTAAAAATCTAACCGTGATTTGGGTTTGGGGCAGTCTTCTCTTCAACCCCATCTTCCTTCTTCCACTTTTCCTTATTCCTTTCTTTTCTCTGTTTTGCTTTCTTTTCTCTGTTTTGCATTTTCTATTTGATCTACATCTACTATTTCTAATTTTTTTCTTCTTATATTTATAGCTTACTGCCTTACTTTTTTTTTCTTCTTTTTTGCATTCTGATTTTTTTCTAATTCTTCTAAACTTAGATCTAAGGATTTCTTACCTTGTCAAATGAAAGCCAAAGCTTCATTCTTGGCCTGCTCAACTTCTTCTAGGCTTGTTCCCTTCCCGGTTTGGTCTTTGCCTTGGTGAATGGTGAGTCTTGCTTGCTCGATTGCTCTCTGTTTTTTTTAGTTTACAAAGCTTTTTGTTTGGAACTTTGGATTTCTTTCTTTTGTACCAGTTTTGCAGATTTTTTTTCTCTTTACTTTCAATTAGCTTTTGCTGCCATTTTTTACTTGTTCTGTTTTTTTAAGTCACGGTTGAATAACAGGAATAGCGTCCCGTTATCAACGCTATTTACTGTTAAACCCTAAATTGTGGCTGCGACGGACCGCTATTTTTGTGATTCCGCTACCCATCGCAATTTTCCCGAATATCGGTTTCGAACGGCGGCGCTACCACGAAATAGCGGTCGCTATTGCGATTGTGTTCCGCTATTTGAATCCCTGAATCAGAGGGCATGGTCCTGACGCTCCCGAGAAATACCCCAACCGCTTATAATCAGCATCCCTCAGTAGACCACCAATACCACTGCACCTCCAGTCACAACTTACAGCCCCATCCACATTCACATTAAAAGACCCCGGAGGAGGGAGGCACCAATGTGACTTAGGGGATACTTTCTTCGTAGGAATACGGTGCAGATCAGCCAAAGTTAAATCTCCCACAAGGCAATCTAGAAGGATAGGAAAATTTGAGTTCTTTGCCGACAACCAAGAAGCCACCCTATATCTAGCCAAAAAGAATAGATGAGTCTGATCCAACCTAACATTATTGAACACCATGTGATTTCAACATTTCCATACAATCCACATTACACCACCCGGGACGAATTTCCAAATGTCCGAATTCGGTAGTAAATCAAACCAAGTGTAGAAAAACGCATTGGGATTATTAGGCAAGACTGTATATATTCCATGACCGTAGAAACCGCACCCAAACCCCCCAAACTACTCTACATGAGAAGAACAAGTGACAAACCGACTCCGGCTCCAATCCACAGGCCGGGCAGAAAGGATCCTCGATCCCTCGAACACCCCGATTCATTAGAACAATCTTAACAGCTAACTTCTGGTGGAACACCTGCCATAGAAAAACCTCCACTTTTGAAGGTGCTATACCAACCCAAACAAGCTTCGACCAAGACAAATCCGGATAGGACAGGCTTGATACTAAGTTAATGCACGATTTAACCGAATAAACACCCTCCCAGTTTCCTTTCCAAACACAACAATCATCCGCCTCCAATCCAAGACGAACACTATCCAACATTGATAATAACTCGATCCATTGTCCAACTTCCCAATCCAGCAAATTTCATCTTATTTGGATATCCCAAACTCACCTCCCATTGTTTAGGCAACCATAGTTCGCAATGACCTCGTCCTTATCCGACAAGGCGAAAAGCCTAGGGAATTTTATCTTCAAGGGAATGTTGCATAACCAACAATCATGCCAAAACAAAATGGAATTTTCCTTCCCCACTTGCAGAATAAGGTGATTGCGAAAACAAAGGCCAAAAGCATCATTCAACCAATAGTTATTGATTATTCCTTTCCAAAGCCAAGACGAAAGGGAAGGCAAATTCTTATCCAACAAAATCGAACTTTTGTAACATACCACCCGCTTCCACCAGGACTCTTTTTCACTGATAAACTTGCATACCCATTTCCCTATTAAAGCCCTATTCATCATATTTAAATCCGTAATACCCAAACCCCCAGTAGATCCGACTTTTCTGAGTCGAGCTCCCCCACAAAAAAAATTAGCCATTAGTGACTCCAACTTTTTATGAACACCAGAAGGCAATCTGAGCAAAGACATATAGTAAATCGGCAACGCATTCAAGACATACTTTACTAAAACATCCCTCCCCGCAAGGGATAACGTCCCTGTTTTCAAGCCAACCAGCTTCTGGTAAAAAATCTTAAAGATCGGCTCCCAAAGAGCTACCGAATTTCGCCTGGCACCAAGGGGAAGCCTTAGATACTCCGTCGGAAGAACACCAGATATACACCCAATTGAATTTGCCTACTCTTTGATTGTTGATTCTTCCATATTAATACCAAATATCTTGCTCTTCGATAGATTTAATTGCAACCCTGTACACATCTTAAAGACGACCAAAATCCTCTTAATATTCTTCAATTGACCTTTTGAAGCTCTACAAAAAATTATCAAATCGTCAGCGAATTGGAAATGAGAGAGCGAGAAGAACCTATTATCGCAACCGATCTGAAAACCATCGAACAACCCTAACTTGATTGCTTTGGACAGCAAAAGACGGGATAAATTTGTGTGGACAACTAATTATGTGGAATTTTTTTTCTTAAATGTGGTTTTTTCTTCGTATTTTCCTCTTTTCTTGATCCAAGGATTTTTTGGGCAGCAGACACAATTGTCTCTTAATTCATTTCCCCTTCTCTCCCCCACAAAACTCACACCATCACACTCTCCACACTTAACCTTCCCAGCCAGCCCACCCAGAACTCAGATCCCAGCATCAGGATGCCATGTTGGATGCCTTCTACTGTCACCGAATTATATCCAAAAACTACACCAATTGTCTTCATACCCAATAGTTCAGATTTTCCAGAAAAGCCTTCCTTTTCCTACCAAATTCTCGAAGAATATGAATGAC